CATTACATTACTAACAAGATGAACGCTTCAATTCATTCGGGCATGTTAAACTTTATATGGTTTTTTTTTTTAACTCTAAGATCTTTCTCTCTATTTTGTTATTCCAAAACAATGGCAAAGTGTAATTCAGTTTAAAAAGTTTTAAATTAATTTTATTATACATTTGATTTTGTGTAAAATAATACCTAAGAAGCCTTACCTTATTGTCAGAAAAATTATACAATTTTATAAAATTTTATAAATTATGAAATCATTTAAAATAGAAATCATCATACAAATTTTTATTATTAAAAAATTCTCGCCATTTAAAACAAAAATGGTAATCATAGCACTTAACTAAATTACGCGCACCTGTACAAATGGTAGGTGCTTATACCATATTTCTTTTACATATTATTACGTTAATATCATTAAAATTGATTAAAGTTCTCTATTTTTAATTTCAATTTTAACATTCTCTATATAGCTATATTATAACTTTTAAATAAATTGGTTATCACCATTTTAAAGTGAATGTAATTATGATTTTTTTTTTTCGTTTCTAATTTTATACATAACCTTCATGATTTAATGTGCTTATAGGCATAATGCTTATGTTTTTTACTACTTTTTAAATCGTTTTTTTTTGCTGTTGAGTTCAAATAACAAAATTACCTTTGCCTATATTAATAATTACAGGTACAAATGTATACATATTACATGGTAATTGTTAAAAAAAGAAGCAATAGAAAAAAAAATAACATGTTTTTTATTAAACATTTTTTTTTTTCTTGATATTTGTACATATAAGTGTAATTTTGTAATTTGTACATTTATAAATAAATATCTGATGTGAACTTCCCATTTAATTGATTTTTTTTTGTTTCGTATAATCTAAAGGTGAGAAATACAATATGTATGTGTTTTTATAAAACATTTTTGTATAAAAAATAAATGTTAAAGAACAAAAAGTTAATTATTATAGATTTTTTATATTTTTTTATTCACTCATTTTCTAAATTATAAAAATGTACATATTCTATTCACTTGTATGTACATACATATACAAATTTTTATTTAATGGGCATAAATATATAGGAAATTATTAAATGATGGAAGTTATAAAAAAGAAAGATTATTGTTATAAGTATCATGTTATTATTAAAATAAAATAAAATAATTTTTTTTTAAGAAAAAAAAAAATGGAAAAAATGAGAATTTATAACCAATACGCTACTTAAAATATATATACAGAGTAGGCAAGACTCGATAATACTCCCGAAGCATAGTGATAAAATGACGAACAATAAAATATAAATGAAAGACAAATTGATATTATTTTAGTACATTGTTCAGGCGACCAAAAAGCATCAAGTAACATTTTGCGGCTTGAGCCTTCTCTCTCTCGTACTATTAGAGCTCAAACTTGGAATTTCTGAAAAACCATATAATTTTTATAGTTCAACTGATAAGTCGTAAAATATGACAAACAAAACCAATATGGTGTATTAATTTCTAAGCTAATAAAAGTTCCTTTTTGGCGGTGCATCATTCTTACTAAGAACTTTTTTGCTTTCCGAAATATTTGAGTGAAAATTTAAAATTTTTAAAAAATTTTTTCCAATAAATTTTTCTTAAATCGTCATTTGCTCATAATTACAAGTTTCTTATTTATCGTTTTTTGTTCGTCTGGGCGCATTCTATCTTTGGATGCTTTGGAAGGAACATCGAATCTTAGATAACATGTATATCATGTGATTTATGAATAATAATGTTTCATCATATTGCATATATGCCAATAAAAGCAGGCAATATTTTTCTTCAAAATTCAGATTGCAAACTCAGGGGCTTCCGAAGCAAATCGTTGTATATACAGAACAAATATTTCGTTTTTACAAAAAAAAAAAAAGAATTTGACATAAACGGGAATTAAAAAAAATTAAAAATAAAATTATGATGCGTGCCATTCCGAAAGTATACAAGATGCCCCTCATGAGTCCATTTAAAATTTAATTTGTTACTTTTTGAATTGAAGCCTCTACTTTTCATAGAATGCAATTTATATAGACAAAAAATATGGTCCATTAATTTGATTGAACGTTAAAATTTCATAAACTGTTTGATTCTTAAAATTTCGAAAGCTGTTCCAATTTAACTTTTAATTTTGAACAACAACTTTACTTATTTTTAATGTTCTATGTAAACGATACTACATTATGTGAATTCTATGAAGAACTTGTTTAGTGAATCATACTGTGTATTTTTATATATGTATACATTTGTGTAATAGTATAGTGTGGCGTGTTAAATTGGGACAACGCGAATTAGCTCCTTAATAATTTAGTGATTTTCAAATGAAATTATTAATTATTTGAAAGATTTTTTTAAAATGAATACATATATGAATGTATAAGATAATTATGATAAATTTAATATTAAAAACATAAATTTAGCCTTGCTGCTTTAACTACTTCGGACCATTATTTCATTTTAAATCTGATTATTTGATATAAACGCATATGTATATCGTTTAAGAGAGTTCTTATTAATATTTAATATTGAAATAATGTATTTCAATATAAAGTTATTAAGATAATTTACTTAAGTATTTCAATTATATGAGTATAATTTACATTTAACACTGTCTTAAATTAGAATAAGTGGAATTAACCGGTTAGACTGAGCTAAATTTTTTAAAATAGTTATTTTTTTTAAATTATTGCATACAATATAATTAAACTAAAATATAATTAAAAATATATTGCTTATATTGTGAAAATTTTGAAAATCATGAAAGAAGTTGCATAAATGGAACATTAATCTTATTATAGAGAAATAATAATTAACCCACAATACATGGTTTGCAACCTTACCAATTATCAACTATATTGAGAGCATAAGTTTTATTCTATATAATTTCTTATATAGATATCACAATAACTCTTTAATAAAATCTAGTTCTTTTTTTTCAAAAATATTCAATATTTTAATAAGCCCTAAGTGCCATATAAGAGCGCACAATATTAATTATTATTGTTATACAAACTCTTTTATGAAATAAATACAATATCCAAAATTTCAACAACTCTTCTCCTTAATTACTAAAATAAATATTAATTTAATGGCAGACTTCACCATTCTTCCTAAAATAATAATTTTCATCAAAAAATTTTTATAATTACAAATTCTATACCAAACTACTTATATCACTTTTAAATCATCACAATATTATTTAACAATTCCAAAAATATTAATATTTAATTATACAACATGTATGTGATATTCCAAAGTAATCATACATAATATATTTCATATAAGTATTATGCTATCATCAAATGATATACTTTTAAAGTTGCAGTATACATTTTATGATATACTTGTTTTTGCCTCAATTACAACACTGTTAATTCATACTTAAAAGAAACTATTTCTGATTATATTATTATTTAGGATATTATATAAAAAGATCCTTTATTATATTTTGTATATATGTATGTATACATATCTATACAAACATTGAAAATAAAGTTTCAAAATATTCTGTTGACGTCTTCATGTCATAAAGTTTCTCTACCATATATTCATGCTTTTAAACATTCATATATAATTATAGTATGTATGTGTAATATTCTAGTATATAATTTGAGTTTATTCATTTTACTTGCATTTATATTTGGTATGGCATAGTATATAGGCAATCAACATAATTTTCATCGCCCACCTGTACCTGTATCATCACAAAAATTATAATAATATATTCTTTGTATATATATATATAATATATATGAATACCTTATAATATATGAAAATTTAAGTATACATATACGAATAGTATGCCTTGTATAATTACATATAATTTTTATATTTTTATAGTTTTATAATGTTTCCTTAATATACACATGTATATAAGTATATGTTATTATCATAAATGCTTCTCATGTTCATTAAATTCAATTTATACGTATATTATAATATTATATTATTATTATTATTGAAATAACAGCTTTGGTATCATCATCATCATCATTACCATCATCTTCATCATTATCAATAAATTGAATATAATATGGTATTTAGAAAAAATGTTATAAGGTGTATGAAAGGAAAATCTCATAAAATTTATACAAGTGTTTTTAATAAAATATTGATAAAATGTTTATATGTGCTATTACTGGAAATAACTTTTTAACATTTGAATGAATCTACGTAAATGTTACAGTCATATATATATACATAAATGTACATATGAATAATAAATATTATTTTATAGTTTTGTAATATAAATTTGATAATAATTTTGTAAGATATTCTACCCTTGAGAAATATACACATAAATACACATAATGTATAGGAATAAAAAGTTTATTAATATTCTTGTTCAATTAACTTACATAAAAATTTAATTAAAATTAATAAAAATTAAGAAACTTTGTGAAACTTAAGGGTATGTGATAAAAATAATTCAGATTAATAAATTTAAATTTTTAGAAAAGAAGGTTTCAATATAAAATATTTACTCTGAAAACAAAGTATTTCTATAAGAAATCTCAAAAGTTCTAAAATAATTGAACTAATTGAGACTTGCAGTCAAAGTCGAATTAATCTATAAGTTGAGCAGACTGTAAACCTAGGCCCCGCTTCTTCATAATCCAAAATTTTCAAAAAAAAAATTAATCAGTAACAGCGTTATTCAGGAAATTTTTTGAACTTATATTGATTATGGGTTGAAAAATCTAAATTGAAAAATCCTATATTTATACTTTATAACTAAAAATGTCTGCTGACTAGCTAGCACACTCTTTATTGTCTATAGTCCAAAAGCGGGAGGTGCATATATTGTACATAAACAAATAAAGTGTACAATGTACGCGTCCCCATACGATTTTGATTCGCCCCTCGATATCATTTTTAGCTTTTATTTTAATCAAATGCCCATGTATTAAAAATATATATACTTATATACACAATATATGAATTATACTTAAAAGAAAAGAAAACTTTAACTTATTAATTTATTTCAGAAGACAAACAGCTGAAGAGCGTGAAGCCGAGAGACAAGCTGCAAATCGTTTAATGTTATCATTACAAGCAGAAGCAATAAGTAAAGGTTTTGCACCACCACAAGCACCATTACCTGGTGTTGGTGGACCGCCACCAAATGGTGCACCATTAGCAGCATTACATGGTTTACAACCGTGGGCAGAAACTCATGCGGCCGGATGCTAATTATTAGTAACAATAGCAACTAAACTACCATCAACAGAAACAACAACAACAACAACTAATTCAATATTTACAAAAACAACAAATTCTACAACTTCAGATATTATTCCTATTAAAATACCAACAATTACAACAACAACATTAACAATAAATTCACCAACTACATCAACAGAAACTTTAAAATTGTCAGATGAAGCAGCAACACTAAAAACAATCATAACAACAGCAGCATCAACAGTAACAGAAAAAGATGATATTCCAAAATTATCATTAAATTCCAATTATAATAATAGTTGATAAATACCGTAGCCCAGTTAAGTTTTTTTTTTTATATTTCCTTTTTTAATATTAGATAACAATATAAAACAAAAATTAGTAATTTAAATTATAGAAATTAATGAATGAAAATAAAATTTAATAAATAAAAATTAAAAATAAAAAATATTTAAAAAAAAAAATTATTATCAAAAAAATCATAAATTTAGAAACCAAATCATTTAAAATTAATGTAGAAAATTAAAATAGTATAGAAAAAAAACAACAAAAACAACAATACACAAAATTAATTAAAATTCATTTTTTTCCTTATTTGAAATTTAGATTCGAAAAAATTTTTTTTTGTGATATTATGAAATTAAATTAATTAAAAAAAATGTATAATTTTTTATTTCGTGTAAAACGAAACATGTTGTGCTAGAAAACCACGTGTCACTTAAAAGGTTTAGTTTATTTTTTTTCTTAACACATACCTTGAGCAAATAATACAGGATGTTTCACAAAATTTTGCAAAATTTAGTTTTTTTACAAATTAAAATCATCACAAATAATATTATTTTTGAAATTTTAAATTTTTATGAAAAAAAAATTTTCGTAAAAAAATGTTAATGAAAAAATGTTCTGCGTCACAGAATGTAAAAAATTAATATTAAGAAGCAGTATTTTTTATATAATTTATTCGTTTTGCTTCCAACCATAAATAAACTAAACTAGCCTATTTTTGCTATACATATAAAAATTTACAGCTATACGAAAACTGATTAGGATCTTCAAGTCGCATCTATATGCAATACCATTGCATTTTAATTTATTTCCTAAAAAAGTAAATTGATTTGAATAATTATCAAAACTGTTCTTAGTTAGCCTTTTAATTATTGTTATGCACAGTTTTCAACAGTCCATATTTGGATTTATAGTGATAAAGAAATTCTTACAAAATAAATTCTTACGAACAATATTCCTGTAGAATTTAAATTATGCATAGTTTAAATTTTCATAACAAAAATTATTAAGGCCTAGTTTTGCATGCCACCATTATTATTTTGAATTAAAATTCTAATTTACATAACATTCATATTTATATTGAGCTTTTCTTTATATGTCTTTATAATAATATTTCTATCAAGACACAATAAATTTGTAGAATTAGTATGGTTATATCGTAATTTTTAGGGAAACTCATGAAGAGATTTTGATAAACTCTATATACTACAAAAACATAATGTGCTGGGTTCGTAATATACTTTTAAAAATTCTATAAATGCAATACAATTCATATGATTAAACTGCCTTACTCATAACAATTTCCCTATAATGCCGATAGTTCCCCTATACTAGCCGATAATCTATTGAATAAACTAGATTAGCAACATTTTATTTATGAATATAAATATAACGCAGTTTACACTATACATACCGTGACATACAACGTTTATGATAAAGTCCTGAAATATCCAGGTTAATTCTATAATAAGAGTAGACTTTCCTTTATTTAATTTAATCTTATTCATATTTTCTTAATAATTTATTAATATTTTAACACTATTAATATTTTCATATTAAAATCATAAAAATTTGCAAATGTAATCTATTATTTTTTTTTTCAAAAAGCTCATAATGTAATCTGTTTTTTGTTTTCAATGGGAAAAAATGTGATACACGCCTGTTTATAAAATCATACCCTTAATTCCCCAAGTTATTTTTGGTGAACTTCTATATTTGCTTATGTATATTTTTGTTTGTAAAACACACTGTATAACATTTGAATATTTTTTGAATATAATTTGTGTTATACAATATATTCTTATACTAATGTTTAATTTTTGTAAATAAATTCTAAAATAAAATTAATGATTATTGATAAAAAATAATAACAATAAACAAGCAATTAATAATTTTTATCATAATGTATATACATATATATATATATATACATCTGCATATGAAACATATTAAATTACATAGAAATTATTAACATGATTTAAAATATATATAAATAATATTATGTAAGATAATTAAATAAAAAAAATATTATGTATAACATTTACTATAATATAGAATTGTGAGAATATACACAATATGTATAGATTATTAAAACAATTAAATTAGATGAAAAAATTTATTACACTAATAATTGTATATTTGGTAATTTCTATTTTATTTTTTTATATTCTGTTATGTTATTTTAAAATGTTAATATTTAATTTTTTATTATGTATATGCATGTACCTGCCTATACCTATTATATTTATAATTGATTTCCGTGACTAAAATTAATTATCGAAAAATCAGGAAAAAAAAGTGAGAGAAATGGTAAATGACCTTTTTTTTGAAAAAAGAAAACAACATGCAATTAATGAACATACGAGTAGTAACATACAAGTAATTTTTTGTGATTAAATGATTATATAAAGCTACTTTTTATGTTAATAATTTGCGTTTGTATATAACTATTGTTGAATTAAAATGAGTATATAAGAACGCGATAATCACATACGCATACACGATTGAAATAATGATATTCAATTGATTAAAATTATAAAATTTACATGCTTTTTTACATTTTACATATTGTATAAAACATAAATATTAAAAATGGTAGAATATTTTACAAAAACACACTATGGTCATGTAAACTAAATTATCTTTGTGTATTAACGCTTTATGTTTGTATACAAGATGATTCAGTAATCAGTGACATAACATATACCATCATCTAGAACAAATGAGTAAAAAAAATTCCAAACTTCAAAAAATTTTGTACGAAATTATTGGATTAAACTAAGAAAAATAAAAAAACCGAAAAATTTGATTTTTTTCTAAAGTTCGATTGCTTAGTAGATTCTGAAAGTACATAAAACAAAAAAGCAAATAATATGTTGCTTTAAACTTCTGTACTAACTCTTTCAAAAACTGTTTATTTCAAGCTTCTATCTTTTTCGAAAGGGAAGTTAGAAGCAAAGAAATTTGGGCAAGTAGAAGTTTCGTAAAAATTCTTTAAGATTCTTGTACCTCGGAAACCATTCAGATTTGACAATAAATTCTGAGCAAAAATTTTACTCATTCTACGTAACTGATTACTGATTCGCTCTGTAAACATACACATAGTCTATAATTAATTTAATTAATTTAACATGTTATTTCTTTTTCCAATTAAAATATGAGGACACAAAAAAAATAGATTATAAATTTTATTTTTTCTACATCTACTATTAAAATAAATAATAAAATGATGAAATTAAGTTATACAAGTCTAATATTATTAATTGTTTTTCCAAATAAATTTATTGCTTTACATTTAAATAATTTACAATAGTTCGAATCTATGCATGAGTAAAAAATTAATAGATTTTTTTAAATATTAATTCATACATACATCCTAATTATGATATGACATACATTCTAATTTCAATTTTCTAATGTAATTATTTATTTATTATAATTGATATAATAATTTTGTTGAATTTTGCAATTAAAATGTAATTTTAAAAATAAATTCTATATTGCCAGCTAGCGTGTTCTTTAACAATTATATTCAATTTTTATGTTCAAATTTTCATTATTATTATTATTATACAATTTCAATATAACATTAAAAAAATATTTATTCTGTATAGTTAGTTAAAAACAATATTATTATAAAATTCCGATTAACTTCGATTTCAAAAAATTATTGTTCAATTTTGATCATTTCTATTAAATTGAACTAGATCAGTAGATTAATTTTAATCTCATGTGAATATTATACGCCTAAATATATGCAAATTTTCAATAAATAAAATAAAAATTTACTCATTCAACTGAATGAATTTTTCAATACATATTTGCTTGAACAGTCTGTAACTCAAAACTTGCAAAATTGACAATATCGAATTTTAAATATTTGGTGTTAATAATGTATTTCTGGTGCTTTTTATAATTTATTCTGAGCGATAATTTTCGAGCTGGAAAATTAGAATTTTTATACAATAAAGGAATGCTTTAAGTTCTTATTTCTATGTATACAAATAGCTAAGAAATCGCATTTTATTGAATTAAATTACTGTTATAGCAAATGAGCAAGATTTAAGAATTTCGTTATAATATTGAAGGAATCGTAATTTTCTTAATAAATTTATTATTATTTTTTTAGCATGAAAACATAATTTTCACATTTAATTTTTACTGCCTCATATTAACACAATTTCATTTTACTAAATTTTAAATATTATTTTTGATTTATTAAACGTTTCTATCATCTTAGTTGTTCTCGTGTATTTTAATAATTCCTTAAAAATTCCAGAAGAAAAAAAATATATAGCAATACTAGAAATATACTAAAAATTAAATCAGATAGCTTTTATTATACAAAAATGAAAAATTAAAAAAAAAATTCTTAAATTTAATTAACATTTAAATAATAAAGAAATTGTAAATAAAATATTTATAAAAATATTAAAATCAAATTTATAAATAATAAAAATACTTTGTAATTATTAATTAAATTCATTAAAATTTTAGTTATACATAATTATTTTTTAGAATAATAATTAATAATTTTAATTAAATATTAAAAATATATGAATTTTTTTTTTTGATTATTATTTTAATTTTTTGTTATAAAATTAACTTGTAAAATAATATTAAATTTTCTCATATAGGTACTAATTTTCATATAATATTATAGAAGATCGAAAAATAAAAAAAAAATATAATTAAAATTTATTATAATTAATTAATAATAATATAAAACAAAAATATTTGATAGCATAAGGCACACAAACAAAAATTTGCTTATAAATTTGATTTTTAAGTATTTATAAAACGATATTCGTTTTAAAAACATATTATATACTAAATAAGTAATAAAAACTTCTTAAAATATTATTAAATTCATAAAAATTGAAAAACAAATTCTTTGGTAATGCAGTAGCAGAAAATTAAACTAAAAATTAATGAAAAACAGAAAGAATAAAATTTAATTTAAAATTTAAATGCAAAAAAAAGAAATTTTTAATAAATTGTATAAAATGCAAAATAAGTGAGAAATCTTTGTAAAATATTAAAAAAATTAATTATAAATTAAATATTAAAATAGTTATATATCATTAAACAGCTATATACTTATATAATATATATATATATATATA